GGGTAATAAAATAATTGCTGATGTAATCTTTTCCCAATAACTATTACAAAAACACAAAATAAGTATAAATAACTAATTATATTTGTGTACAAGCTGTTTAGATTGTCAAAAAGCCTGTGTTTTTAGGGTTATTAACAAAGTTCGTGTACTCAGACCAGTAATATTTGGGGTCACAAGTTTTTGCCATGGATACTTTGTGGGTCAGAAGATAAAAAGTTTGGGAACCACTGGTCTAGACTATTTCTGGATGACTCTAAGTTTTTATTTGCATTTTAAAAGCAAACTATTAAATCAACTTTAAAATCAAACATAACAGAATTGACCTATTCTGTAAAGTAAAATCCCACAACTGTCATAAAAACCAGTGACTGAAAACTGCACAGTGCTGTTTAAAGATATACTACGGTAATTCTTCCTCACTGCGGTGTTTTGTTGCGGAAATAAACTCGTCATAATCTCGTGGGATCTCGCGAGAGCTTCGCGGCATATCTTCACATGACTTCCGGACTTCCTGTGTGTGCGCGTGTGTGACTTTAGCTGACCTGAGCCGACTTGTGTGAGTGAAATAACGCTGTCAAAATGTTAATTTTGTCAAACAGGATCAAGTTTTGCTCTCTTGCGTTTAATGCCTTGCGCCTGTGCAGCAGCGGCCCSGCAGCTGCCATCAAAAACCCCATTGTTTTCTTTGACATTGCCGCGGACCACGAGCCGCTCGGCAGAATTACTTTTGAGGTGAGAATAGTTTTTTTTTATGTTATAACGTTTTATGGGTTTTTAATGTCTACATTTAGCTGGGGAAAAATCAGAACATAAGATTTGTTTGGAGGTTATAAAAATGTAATTATAACCTTGAACGTGTTCTCTMTGTATGTTTACAGCTCAACGCTGATGCCGTGCCAAAAACCGCAGGTGAGTTTTTACTTCCTCTCTCATCAAACACACATTTACACAGCATGAAACTAAGTGTCCTTGTTTTACACTGATTCAGTTACCTCTTCATGTTACACAGAAGCCTGTTAATCACCCATTCATCCAAATCAGGTGTGAAACCTTTAAAACATGCATGAATTTTACCAAAATGTGTAATCCAGTTTCACTTATAATGATCCACTTCAGCATTTACAACCGACCACCAAATAAAATGTAAACAATAAAACTACAAAATGAAGGGTTAAAGTTTCAAAATGTAGCGTGACAATGAAGCTACTGCTTTATGTCCTTCAAAATAAAAGACCCAAATACATCATGTAAAAAACTTTTTTCTGCCTCTCAGGAAAAACAATATATTAATGTTAACCTTGCCAAATGTTCTTATGCTTACCCCACACTTTGCACATCAAATATGAATTGTATTTAACTGTGTATCATAAATGTATTTTTTCTGACTTTTAAATGCTATTTCTTTTAGCTGTTACCTTATCCCACACATTAAGTGTGCTCCAAATAAGCAGAAATGCTAATCCTGTACGTTCCTAAGCCTGCATGAAGAAACACGCACGTGTTGTTTCCTCCCTGTTGATCAGTTTCACCACCCACACATGTTGCAAAGTTTCGAGTCATTAGGAGGGGGTTTCTCCTGCTACTAAAAGGGATAAAAAGAGGTTGAGATCTTTTTCTTTTATCATTTTAATAAACTTGTCATGACTTAAAACAACAGGTTGAAAAAAACAAAATGTAGCAAAACTGTTGGGGGAACAGCTCKTGATGGCTGACTGTCTTCAGAGTGAATTTAACAGCTTAAAATATATTGTGTTCTCCCCCTGACCTCATCATCAGCTCTTTGCACCTTCTTCTTCAGATGTAGGAAGTTTTAAGGATTTAAATATTAGCACCAGCTTGAAATGAGCTGTCCGGTTTTCATGTTTTAACCCTCCTGGATTGCTTGRGTCACGTTTATGAAGAGATGATGTTCCCCACAGAAAACTTCCGAGCGTTGTGCACAGGAGAACGTGGCTTTGGTTATAAGGGATCCATTTTCCACAGGGTGATCCCTCAGTTTATGTGCCAGGTGAGTTGGTCTCTCTTCCTGCTTAATGTTTTTGTTGTCAGGTGACCTGTTTGGGTTGGGTTACAGTGTTGTGTGTTTTGTGGCTGCAGGGCGGAGACTTCACCAATCACAATGGAACTGGAGGGAAGTCCATTTATGGACACACGTTTCAGGATGAGAACTTCAAGCTGAAGCACACCGGACCTGGTAATCATCGCTCAATTTAAACACGGTAGCAAAGGAACAGTGAATTAACTGTGGCAAGATTTCTCCAGAGGATTAACGAGGGGTAAAAATGCCTTTTACCAATAAAGGTATTTTACTGTTCAAAATTCAACTCTTTCTTTTTTTCCCCCCTTTTTGGTGCCAAAAACCAGTTGTAGCTTGTGTGGCAACACTCAAGATGATAATGCATTGTCACCAAAAACAGTCAAAAGGCTTTAATGTACATTTATCAAACATGTAGGTAATATCTATACTGTATATAATGTCTTGAACACAAATCAAATTAAAGATTTTTAGTCTTTTAAAAGTTCACCTATTCTGTTTTATTAGGAATATTTGTAAAATAGTTTGACAGTTCATTCATTTTGCCACCAGGGAGCAGCTGTTTTTCAAATATTCAGTTAAGTCAGTGGCATCTAATTCTGGTTCTGCTTTGACACACCTAAGTTTCTGAAACATCCAGAATAGTGGCTCGTAACTGACTTAAACCCTGAAGCAGTTTTGAACTTGTGACCATTGGCTTCTATGAATATGAAATAATTTTAAAATGGTAGTAATTTGATGTTAATTGGTTGTATAAATAAGTCTAAAGTCTTTTTGATTCAGTCAAAATTCTTAAATCCATTTTCCCTCACTTTTTTTATCTGCCAGAATCTGAAATGTTCCTGTGTTTTTAGGTATCTTGTCTATGGCCAATGCTGGACCCAACACCAATGGATCCCAGTTCTTCATTTGCACCGCTAAAACTGACTGGTAGGTACTGCCGGAGTAACTAAATGAGTTGATGATTTTGACACATTACAGCAGTGTTTGTGTCAATTAATCACTTAACTAATTGGTCTTTAAGAACCTTGTATAATTCTTACAAATACCTGTAGAAGTAACAAATACATTTTTTCCTACAGCTTATTTTGCAGTATGTTAAATATAAGAAGGCAGATACCATTACCTGGGAAAAWGTATTTGCTAAAAAGAATAACTTTAAATTTTTTGTTCGATTTTATTTCTCTGTTTCTTATTTACTGGTTCTGTTATTCTTGTATCAATTTATATTTCCCTGTTTAAAGTTTTGAATAGGAATATTTTACAGATTTAACATAAGTATTTTTTTATGCCTTGTAATTTTGAAAAACATTCTCGGTAGAATATGTAGTGATTTGTAATTCATTCTTGTAATGATATGACATTTACAGCTTTTTTTTTTTCATCAATTGTTACTCCGAAAAAATTAATTTCAGTCACCTTTCAATTTCTCTAAATGAACTTGTACAGTTCAGCTCTACCATACCCAAAAAGAACAAATTTTGTTTTGCTTAAATGTAATAATTTCTTAGTGTCAAACCATTTTTTTTTCTTAAAATAATTTTCATATTAATGGTTAATCAGATTATATTTGCCTTGTGTGCAGGCGAGCGTTGCATATTTTGACATAAAAGCAGAAAAAACATTTGCATGGTGGCTTGGAAAAAAGCTGARCTCCGAGGTTTAACATAGAGACAAGTCATCATCTAGTGTCTGACACAGCAATATTAAAACAAATCTCTTTTTCACTCAGGCTGGACGGCAAGCATGTTGTCTTTGGCAGCGTGAAGGGGGGAATGGAAGTGGTCAAGAAAGTGGAGTCCTACGGTTCACGCTCTGGGCGACCRTCCAAAAAAATCATGATCACGGACTGTGGAGAGCTCCAGTAGACATATTTGCATCTGCTGTAATCTTTACAGAATGGTCCGGTCTACATTCAAGGCACAGAGTACTACCTCGCTTTGGTCAGAACTGAGTATCACTGAAATATAGTAAGTAGTACCCGGTACTAAAAAGTGTTGGATTATTTCAGGTAACAGCGTGCACTTTCAGTGTCGTGCTAAAAAATGTGAATTTGAGTTGTAACGTGGTGGTTTTAGGAGCATTATTTGGAGATTTTTAAAATGTACCATTTATTAGAAAAAAGTCACTTTGTGTACGTGAGGTTGATTTATGAACTTGAATGTCAAATGCGATGTTTTGGTTCTGAGTCTACTGAAATAAAACCAATTGAGGAAAGATTTTTAAATACAAGTTGCTGTGTTTGGGAAATATTTTATTGTCAAATTAGCTTAAAGTTTCTGCTCAGAATGTGTTGATGCAAAAAACATTATTGTTCATTCRAGACAAGAACACAGAACATTAAATGCATTTTAATACAAGAATACTCAACATAGAAATTCATCAAGTGTTATTCAAGTGAAGGCACATTATATGGGATTACACACATTCTTAAGTAGAACTTTTTTTCCATTTAATTTCAGTAAAAATATTGAGAGCAACAACTACATACAACTTTTCCCTTCATATGCTACGATTCCTGACACAAATATGTATCCATAAATGGTATTAGTAAAATACTGGTTTTAAACAAGATTTTGACCATATTTAAAACATGTTCACAACAAACTGTAGCACTTAATATAAAGACTAACTGTTGTTTGGCTAATAAAATCCTTATATCCAACAAAAACTCTTGGCTTCAAAATATATTCAGGAAATAAATGTACCAAACAGTACTGATAAAACAGAACCCTAACATGTTAATACTGCAGAACTGTCTTAGTAAAAACCTTGCATATTTTATACAGCAAAAAAAAAAAAGATTTACAGTTATTTTCAAACGTATAAAGAGAATTTCTATCTAAAACTTCATGATTTGTTGAATAATCAGAAATCCGACACGAAACCAAAGCTTCTTAGTTCACAGTTGGTAGAATATTTGGTTCAGAGAGATTTCACTTAAAAATACTTAAAACTGTGGAAATAAGGAAGTACTCATCTCCATTGAGATGTTGATGAAAGTGCCTCTTATTTTGAGAGGATATTTCATAAGCATAGTTAGAATCATCACAGTACAAAGAAAAAGTGTTTAGAAACTAAAATGTTCTGGTTTCTTTTCATAAATCTTTGAAGGAGTACGTAGATTAAGGCAAGCGGGGTGTGTTATTGCACGCGGCGGCAGTAGTAGCCCAGGACTTTACATTTCTCACACAGATGTTGCGGATGCTCTTTGCTCTGGTCCGACACGTCTAAACCATCTGGTTTCTCCAGAGGTCTCTGAAACAAACAAAACACACACACACAMAAAAAGAAAACAAGAATCAGCTCTGCAGCTGTTGGCACCACTGAAACGTTTCTGAACACAACACTTCAGGGCTTTAGTGAATCATTAAGACGTTTAGCTTTTTATGTTTGGACATAAAATTTAAGAACAAGCTAGTTGTACATTTTAACGTGGCCCAGATGCTTTTTGGGGATTTAGAATTAAGAACAAAAACAAATTCGGTTAAGGAGAAAGCTTTCATGGTGCCTGGATGACAACTGTTTTTTGTATGGATGAATCAGAACAACTAATTCCAAACAAACAAAATAAAACAAAGATCATCTCGTTTTGTTGGTCAAATTCATGGAAGACCCTAATGGGTTTTTTGGCACTACAGTAATTGATTCATTGTAAAAGAAAAAGCTCTTTTACATGTAAAAAAAAAACGTGGCTGTCTTGTGTGTGGAAAAATAATCTAGCCAACATAAGACTTACTAAGCATAATTCTTCTACACTTACAGAAAAAAGTAAATCTAAACATAGCATGTGGACTGCACAGCTGTGCTGTGAGGATCTGACAGCCCAGCTGTATCCAAACAAAATCAGCCGTTTCCTGATGCCCTCTGCTCAGGTGTACCGTTACCTGTTTGTGAGGATAAACATTGATGTGGCATTTGATACATTCTTGTCCCATGTTGGCCCAGGAGTTCCCGCTCATCCACTTCCTCTTGCATTTAGGGCATTTGTATTCACCGAAGCACCTCTTCTTTCCCTGATACGGGGTCAGGCCTTCTCCTTTTGGTCGAGCCTGAAAGGGATTGATTGTGTCAAAGATTAATGTGGATTTTTTTCCCACCCCGTTAGGTTTGATTACTTGTGATTTTGTTAAAAACCTTTCTTTGATCAGAAGCCAATTCAAAGCTCTGAAGCAGTGATAGTGACTCTGTTGGTGGTCAGAGATTTATAGTTTTGTTTTTCCATTCGAGCTAAACATTGTGCCAAATGAGCCTTAGATTATAAAAATAACAGTCAATAGACATCAAATCTTAATCAGATGTGAATTTAAATTTAAAAAATTAAGCTTAATCCAAAAGAATTTGAATATGTTGTGTGTAATTTATTTTTTTGGGTGGGGGAAAAAGGGAGTTTCAGATTTCTCATTAGAATGAGCTCCATTCCTCCAGCTGTGGTCCTGGGGGAACGTGAAGGGGGGCCTCAGCCCACGAGGCGACCAATAGGAGGGGCCCTATCTGCTATAGGACAAATACTTAAGGCTCTCAGTCATCCCTCCAGCTGGCCCCAGCTTACCATTCAGAACATAAAGATCTGAGCAGGGAGGAAATAAAACCCAGATGAACTCTGCACTTCTCTAACATGACAAAATCCCAAACTCTTTCCAAAATATGAAGAAAAAAAAAAAAGACCCCGACAAGAATGTTTCAAATTAAAAACATCTTTGCTAGAAAGCAGGGCACGTTCGAAATTAGGGCTGCGCCGCATCAAGCGTTGTTTTGACTTCGCAGCTCAAACCCTCGTCAAAGCTCCTGACGTCTCGGATAAACGGAGTCGTTTCCAGGACGACATCTGCTTTACAAAACATCTCTGAGAGTCCGAGAGCCAAATCGGGGACCGCTCTGGCCACAATGAAGCGTTTATCAGCCTTGTTTGCATCACTCAGCCACCATGAGGCACTTTTAGGAGGTCACATCAGACGGCAGCTCACGCTCGCTCGCTCAGGCGCCTGCGGGGGTCGGTGGGGGGGGGGGGGGTCGACGGACGGACAGATCATCATCTTCCTGAGAGAGGAAACAGCTTTCACTCTTCAGAACAAACAAAACAAAGCGTACCTAAATTCTGGAGCCCAGAGGACATCAAGGGGCATCGCTCACTCCAGAGTTTCCACTGGTGCCATCAAAGAGATCAACAGAATGAATGAAACTCCCTCTTTTGACCTGACAGTTATAGGATGCTTGACGCAGGAAAAGACAATGGACATGTCTGTTATCAGACAACAAACTGAAATAGTTGCAGGGACTGTGCGGTTCCTGCAGTCCAAAATGACCTATACATACTGCTGAAAACATCAAGTTGTGAAACGTGTTTGACTTAGAAATTGTGGTTCCAGGTTTTTGTGAGTTCCTTGCTACTCAAGTTTTTCTTTTCAGTCTTACTCACTGATTTCTTCAATTAGGGGAAACAAAACTAGTTAGTGTAAAAGAAAAAGCTTAAAATACCTTCCTCAGTGTGTCACATGGACACAAACCAGGCACCTTATCTGGATCTTATACTAACGTTCACTGAAAAGACTCGTTCTGGACACGTTTGATTCAAGATTTACGCAAAAACACCAAAAACTGTTTTGAGACATTAATTTATACCATTCACTTTAAGCCTAACTGCCATAAGTCTTTTGTTTTACGCTTGAAATCAGGCTTAAGAGCACATATAGTGACGTAAAGCCAGATTTTAAAGCTGGAGCAGAGAGGTTTGGACAAGATCGTTGCAGCCTGATGAGAGAGGCCCAGGAGGTGGCGACCATCATCTGGAAACCATCAAGACAAACAATGAACCACTCCAAAGACAGCCCTCCCACCCCCTGCCCTCCTTCCTCCCTCAGTCATCCACTTTCTCCCTCCACTCCCTCCCATGAGACGTTCAACCTGACTAGAAAAAAAAAGAAAAACACTGGATACCATGTGGTCAATTACTCAACACTAACAAACCCAGAGTGCTCGCTCTCCCTTGCTGGGTTTAATTTGGATCAGAACCCCACAGTATCACAGAGGAACCCGGTTGTTACCAAAGCAAATAATACACAAACGTCCAAACTGAAATTTACCAGCAATACATCTTTTTTTTTTTCCTTTGAGACTTCTGATGTAAGGTACTTTTTGACTTTGAGAAATCTGTTTCTGATAATGACAAGAATATTTGCCAGAAGTTAAAAAAAAGAAAAGAAAAGAAAAAATATTCCTCCGCCAACATTTACTGATTGTTTTTTAGACGTAATGATTTACTTTGGGGTGCTTTCTCTAAAACCAAACAAACAAATATGATTATTTTCCTAATTATTCAAAAAATGTCATTTGGGATAATCAATTTGTATAACATTTTTCCTCAAATRGAATAATTGTAAAAGGAAACAATAGGTTTAAACTTCAATCAGAGCACCGTTTTAGTAGKTATCTAGAAAATTTAAAGGAGACAAATATTTTAAAATGTCTGTTAGCAAAATGTCTCGTGACCCACTGGATGGATTTTAACAAAACTTGAAGTAATCATATGACGTCCACGGCCTACCCCAGTTACCACTACTGTACATGTATGTGTCAAGGACAGAAAGGCAGATGTGGCAGTGGAAGGTGTCAAAGCTGTTTGGAGAGAAAAACAAGGTAAAGAACAAAAAAAGAAAACGATTAATCGATTATTAAATTAGTCATCGATTATTTTAATAATCGATTAGTTGTCGATTAATCGATTAATCGTTGCAGCCCTAATGTATATACACAACAATTTAAATCAATTGACCCCCCGGCATACTAATTACACCAAACATGGCTGTAAGTCAGACATTTATACTCGTAGACCTCAAATTTTGTGTAGTAGCTGAATGTTTCCTCCCCTCCCTTCCACTCATCTCTTAATTACGGTAATAATTAGGTTGTAAACTAATGTTGAGGCCTGGCTAGAGATGTAAAAATCACCAGACATGACTTAATGCAGAGCGGCTTTTGCTGTGAAATACACGCTGAGCTCCACGTTTCTGTAGACAAAGGTTTTCCACCAACTTTGCAACAAGAAGCACAAACTGTACCATTATAATTAAACAATCCTTGCCAGTGAAAGCTGGAGCATATGTTTCAACAATAGCGATTTTCTCCTTCCTGAACAAATCAGGGCCAAAAAGCTCTACTTACAGTAACATAAACTGACTGTGTTTCTGCAAATCGTGCACACTTACATTCCTGGCTGCACTAATGGCAAATAAATATGTTTGGATATAAACAACTGGAGGCCGAAGAGCAGATGATTAGGTTTTTTTTCTCCAGCTATTTAATCCATCACACCCACTTTTTAAGAGCTTTCAAAGCCTTTAAACGGTCAGAATAATACCCACACACACATTTATGCACCTCGTAGGCTCTCTTTCTCCCACAGCTTTCATTGCTTTTATTGGGGGAGGATATGCTGCCAATACGCACTCTCAGTCCAGAGTCTGACTAAGCTGCAGTCGTGTTGATGACAAATGCAGCTGTAAACCAGCATCACGTTTCACAATGAGTGAATGGCAGAGGCAGGTGGGCTGGCAGACAAACAAGAAACGCAACTGTAAAATATTTCTCACTTAAGTGAGCAAAGAAAGCAGGTAGGTAGGTTTTCAGCCTCTGCGGTGAAATCAAAACAATAAAAAAAAGATGTCACGTTTAATTTAAAACAGGCAAACCTGCCCACTTCATTCAACTCAATTACCTGCGAAACGTGATGTCATTTAAAACGCGAGAGCACAGAGGGTTTAGCTCAGCAACCATATTCGTTCATTTATCAAAAGGAGTCCATCTGCCCCACATTCCAGACTTTTCTCTATCTAGCTTGTCGTCCTCGGCAGATGCTTGAGCCAAAAGCAACAGACACCATATAGTGGACAGATAAGACGGTTATCAGCAGTAAAAACAAAAGAACCGGAGCCACAGAAATTAGTGTCGAAAAAGATCCTCTCCTTTCAAGCTACGCTCACATGCTTTCACAACTGAGCCTGCTGTCATTATCACAGTTCAATCTTCTATAAACTATTTATGTGGTAAATTTGAGCGAGTTAATGGTTTTACGTAACTGGTCCATGTTAGGAGTATTGGTTGCAGATGTCCTTTTGAAATTTGCAATTGTCTCCATGTTTATGTGCAGATGTCCAAAAATACAGTCAGAATTAGTAAATTCTATAATCTTGTGGTAACACGCATAGTGCACAAGCACGTATGTGATCAATTACCCTGACAATGGAGCAGCTTGCCCAACAAGCACCAACCGAACCAAAAGCTGGCTGTRGAGCAAAGGTTCGATGTTTTGTGTGAAGTGGAATGGAGTGGTTGATATTTGGATTTTTCATCTGTAGATGTCATTAGACTATATCTTACACGCTGGACCTTTTGAGCATATTAAAGCAAAAAATATCTTTGTTCACACGAAGACCAAATATAAATCAAGGAATTCCTTCGGTCATCCCTGCAATTATTAGAAGTTCCCCTGTCTGAAGTGATTATTGAAGCAGGCTTTTCCCTTCCATTCAAACATGATTAAACTGTAGCTGCAAAGACATCCACCCACTTCCCGTACTGCCCCACTGTTTCCAAAAACACACAGTGGACGTGGCTGTCTCTGGGCAGCTGCACTTTGAGTTTTTCAACTCGGTGTCTGATAGTTGTTTCTCCACACAGACAGAGAGACGGAGATGACTCCAGCCAACAGAACTGTGCGAACAATACGGCCCGACTTCCTGACCTTTGGTTCCTCAGCCTCTTCACAGAAACAATGCTCTTCTTATTTATTCCAATCCCTTCCCAACATTTCACCCTTTTACAGTCAGGGTCTGGCTCTCTTGTGGTCTCTAGGTTCAGGTTCCTAATTGGCAAGACTAATTAAAAGGTTGGGTTAGAAGGTGAACGTTATTCAGCTTGAACATGCATGGTTGTGTGACTGAAACATCACAACAACACGTCACAAAGAGGAAATGGATAGCAGCTTTGAAAMCTTATTCACTTGCCAGTTGGACTTATTTATTTTTACAACCCAAATTGTAAGACATGAAAAGCACCCCCAAAGTATGGATTTCAACTGCATTGGGCTGAAAATGCTGGAGATGCCGGTCAACAAGAACAAAAAGCAGATTGTTCTTGAGTTAGAGCCTCGGAAGAACGGTACAACCGACAAGACGTTTTGTCAAGACAACAATTTTGCAATCATCACTTTTGATTTGAAATATTAACAACACATGATAACATCTGACATCCCAACTGGAGCGAGAACAAGATGATTTCCAGATTTTGCACTTTTCGAATTTCAAAGAAGGATCGTGGTTTGATGCGGTAACAGCCTCCTGAAGCAAATACCACAACTCCCCAACGTGCTTTGACATCAACTGTATAACTTCAAGCTTTAAATTCAGTCATAACTAACTGAAATGTACTGGCAGTTTTGAGTTTTTAACCCAGTTTTGCACCTATGCTTTCATTAAGGTGTCTTCACCAAAGCAGCAGACTTTAGGGGTTGATGTGGGACCTGCAGTCCCTTGAGAAAGTGTTGGGAGCTATAAGCTTGGAGACTATTTTCTCCACATTCTTTACATTCCTATAAGAGCCTGTGTTCTGTATGGAACTGAAGCAATCTTCTCTTTGTTCTCAGTGATGAGACAGGACAATGTATGATTCAAGTTGTGAAGAAAAAAAAGTCACCAATTTGAAAGGATGAAATATTCAAGACAATCTCCATCTCTCTCTGCTTTACTTCAGCTCTACCTAAAATGCATATTATTGATTATAGTTTAAATGTTTAGCTATGCATGACCAAATTAAAGAGGACTTCTTCACATATCAGTTATGTGAAGAAGGTGAGAAAAAGCACCTTACTGTAAAACTCTCATTTCAGGGATGGGCAACTTCTGGCTGACCCGCCAACGCCCCACTCCCTCCCCAAAAACTCTTTTACTTAAAAATAAAAGCACCTAAAGCAACTCTTAAAACCTAAGAGTGGTTTTTTAAGTAAAAAAAAATAAGTTTTTGTTTTGTGAGAGAATAGAATTTCAAAGCAAAGCTATGAAGGATTTTAATATGTCGCCACTACAACATGTTGCACAAAGCTAAATATGAGARGTTTATGGAAGTTGCAAATACATAAACAACTGAGACTTTTTACCAGAACCACTAACTACGCAGTAGTCTGCACTCAAGGTGTCTAATGCCGTTGCTCTTCTGCTTGCTAAAGTGTTAAATTTTTTGTTTACTTACTTACTTATTACAAATGTTTTGTATTCCTATTTATTAAACGAGTACAACTGCTATACATGCATTAAGCAGGACACATGCTCTATGTTGGTTTAATAAATATACACAAAACTTTTGTAAAATGGCAGTTTTATTATAATTGGGTAAGTGTGCAGCGCTATGTGGCCCTCAGTGTCGACAAAAAAATTGTGCMCCCCCCTCTATCATTTAAGTTGCCCATCCCTGTCACAGATACTGTAAATAAACTTTTCATTAAGTTGTGTCACCGGCAAAACTATCCACTTTACATACCGCACATAAATGTTTTAAATTTTGCTGTTACCTGTATTTCCTTTTTTGACTTTAGTTCCTTATTATTAATTATTAGCTGTGTTTTGTTTTGCTTTTTTAAAATGTAAAGATTCTTATTTTCTAGTATAAGAATTTGTGAAATCTTCAAAGAAAAATAACRTTGCACCTGCTACAACCAAAAGGACAAGAGACTTTTTTAAAACCTTGTTTTTAGAGCGAAGGTTGAAACTTAAACCTTGCTATTTTCACTCATCATGTCAACCATTAATATAATTATTTCCATTACACCCAACAAACGTTGAGTTCTTCCTTCTGAACATGATCAGTGAGGAGCCACAGCTGCACGTAAAGCTTGCCTCATATTTCTTTCATGTTTAGAGTGGAGGTCGTGCCTATTTTCACAGAGAAACCGATCATCTTTCATTAAGGCCTGCGCTGAGATCCAGTCTGGCATCTGCTGCTCATTACCAGCCTGGTACTTTTATTTAAACGTGCTGAAGAACCGATTTCGCACAGGAAAAATATATAGATATATATTGTGAACATTATATTCTTATGTTGGAATTTAGACTCAAAATTTTGGCTAATGAAAGCTGGGGCAACTGTGAGGAAACAGGGGCGTTAAATGTGTTTTTCATAATTAGACGTCACCGAACTTACCTGCAGCACCTCATGAGCTCTAGTAAGAACTTTGAAACATCTGTCAAACAACTCAAACAGCACAGCTGGCTCACACGGAGCAGTCACAGGACTGCTCCTGCCGGACACACAGCATCACAACCCGTCTCACCTGAGGACAGTCTTTGATGTAGTGTCCTTTGTTGAAGCAAAGGTGGCACAGGTAGTTGGGAGGAGGCTTTTTGCTGGGTTTGTGTGTTTCGGGGGACAGGGAGAGGTCTGAGAAATGATCCGCCAGAGAGTTCAGGCCGTCCACAATGTTGCTGAGGGATCTGTATGGGGATGACCCTTTGTGGAAATTTTTACTCAAGGCCTAGAAGAGAACACAAGACAATAAATCACTAGCAACAGAGCTACAAGGATGTAAAGGTTGAAGTACACCGCAAAGAAAAGTATAAACGAGAGCAGAGCTGAAGCTGTTAATTACTGTTAAACCTGATTCTGATTTAATTCTGAGCAGATTGATGAGTTGACAACTAAATGGGGTTTCAAAGTGGACTGCTGTTGTTTTCAAACAACTTCAGTCTCAACATTTTTATTTTGGTTCATTCAAACACTATTATACAAAACCTTCAACACCATCAATTCCACACCACATGGTTATTAACAAGGACTGATTTGGTTATTTAAGTAAAGTACTTATTGACCCTGAATCACTTCCTGAAATTAATATATAGACTTTGCATTTTCTGCCAAAATGTAGCATGAATGCTAAGGTTTTTGCAGGAAGAAAAAAAAAAACAGATATTGCAATTTGTTGGAAAATAGCCAAAAAAGATTAAATTAGCAGACAAGTAGGTTGAAAAATAAAACTGGAAAAGTGGAACCTAGCACAAAGA